GGTCTTTACCTACTTCCAATAACTTTATTTTCCCACCCACCAACTTCCTTCAATGTTATACAACAATTTTCTTTACTTGAACCTTCAACCGATGTTATGTTATTACACTTTCGTTTAGGACATCCCAGTTTCTTTTATCTTGCAAAATTGTTTCCACATTTGTTTGTCAATAAAAGTCTGAAATCTTTTTTCTTGTGATATTTGCCCACTTGCTTTACAAACTAAGTGTGTTTATCTACCTTTTCCTTATAAACTGTCCAAACCATTTACTATGATCCATAGTGATATTTGGGGACCATCTCGAGTTGATTCTTTATATGGATTTTGGTGGTTTATTTCATTTATTGATGATCACACTCGTACTACCTGGATCTTTCTCATGAAAACCAAATCTTAAGCTTGGAAATATTCAAACAGTTCCATAAGATGGTTGAAACCCAATTTCAGTGTTTTATCCAAATGTTTCATTCTGAAAATGGTAGTGAGTATTTTTCCAATGTTTTCGGTTTTTTCTTTCAGGAAATCGAGATTGTTCATCTTAATTCGTGTGTCAATTCTCCTCAACAAAATGGGATTGCTGAGCGAAAAAACAAGCATCTTCTTGAGGTTACTCGGTCTATACATTTTTCCACAAATGTTCCTAACTATTTTTGGGGGGAAGCCCTTTTAATTGCCCTTATTTGATTAATCGCCTCCCTAGTAAACTGTTACAATTTAAGTGTCCGATAGATGTTTTTCTTCAGTTTTTCCCAATTTTAAACTGATGACTTAATTGTTACCCCTTAGAGTTTTTTGTTGTACTGTGTTTGTTCATATTATTGTTCCTTTCAGGTCCAAATTAGATCCTCGAGCATTTCGGTATGTGTTTTTGGGTTATTCATTGACTCAAAAGGGCTTTCGGTGTTATTATCCTCGTTCAAAGAAATTATTTATTACTATGGACGTTACTTTCCAGGTAGCTCATTTTTTCCCCTTAAAACTGCTATTCAGGGGGAGTCATATAATGAATATCAATTTGTTGACTCACAACAATCACTTGATTTGCAGCCAGCTCATTTTGATCAACCAGTATTGTCAAACCAGTTAAACCAGTCGAATAAGCCTACAAAATCGCTCCAGCCAGACCAAACAAAACTACCGAACCCAGAAAATGTATCCTTGCCAAACCAGCCCACCAAAACATATTTACCTCGGTATGATCAACATATCACTTCGCCTAAATACCTCAATCCGAACTGTAGATTTACAAGAGATGACAAAAACCAATTTCTAAATCAATCCCTAAACCTAATCCCGAGTTTTCCACATAGCATGGATACTGTCATGAACCAGAACCGAATGAGAATCCTTTGGAGAATGAATAAGGTAATCAGAGTTCTTCCACTGAATTAAATGCTTTAATTGATGATAATGACTTGCCGATTGCTCAAAGGAAAGAAATAAGAAAATGCAGAAATTATCCAATTGAGAGATTTGTTGCATATGGAAAGCTAAAGCCTTATTTTAAGAACTTTACAACAAGTGTATATAGCATTACTATTCTAGATACGGTGGAAGAAGCATTGAAAGATCTTAAGTGGAAAAGGCAGTAGAAGAGGAATTAAAAGCACTGGAAAACAACAATTCTTGGAATATTTTTTTTATTGGAATAGTAGGCCTCATTAAAAACCCCCTTCATGATTAACAAAATTTGAAAATAGTTCCTTAATCAGTGAAAGGAGGAAAAGAGTGCCCTAGGATTTCATTAACCTCAAATAATTACAAAATAATACAAACTAATCTCCCTCAAGAGATACAAAACCAGAAAGAAACAGCCCTTAACAGAACATAATTATCAACCAACACCAGCCTTAGCTAGGACATCCGCCTCTATATTGGTTGTCCTACTAACCCATCTAATAAGACCTTCATTAACACTAAGCTTTTGAATAATGTCTTTAACAATTTGAACATAAACGACAGGACATGAAACAACATCCTTAACCCAGTCAATTGCCACCTTACTATCACTCTCAATAATCAATCTATCTTTAAACCTATGGCGAATAGATTCATAAAAATCTAAACCCTTTAGGATAGCCTTCAATTCTATCAAAGTTGGAGGCCCCAGACTAGTAGGCTATTTGAAGGAGCCAAGAATCGAACCAGACATGTCTTTCAGAATACCACCTAAACCACTCATCTTCCAATCACTCGAAGTAGCCGCATCCACATTAAGTTTAATAAAACCCTTTGGAGGAGGGGACCAAGGAAACTTAGTTGAAATCCGATTAGAATGGGACGAGTATGAATCCACTAAGGAAGGGTCAGCAATAAGATCATCCTTGGAGATAGAAATCTGAGTTTCCTTAGCTAGAAACCATGAGGCAAGCCTGCACCTTGCTAGAAAGAAAATTTCTGCTCGATCGAGCTTCCCTCCTTCGAACACTATAAAATTCATGGTCTTCCAAATTGTCCATAAAACTACTCCAGGGGTAAATGACCAAAAAAGAGAGTTGGTCTTCAAGTCATTCCATGCTAATAGGAATCTTTTAGCCTCTTCATGAAAAATAGACTGAAAATTCCAATAGCCCATGAATTTAGTCCATATTGTCCAAACAACCGAATAGGAAAGAATAGATGAGATGAAGACTCTTCTTCTTGATTACAAAAAGAACACAAAGTATCATTTATGCCCTGAACACCTCTCTTAACCAGAGCTGTCTTCACTGCCAACTTCTTTAAGATAACTTGCCAAAGAAAAGTCTCTACTCTTGGAGGCAACAGGCCCCTCCAAACAATAGGCTTCCAAAATTTAGCTTCCTCCGAATCAGAAGTACCCAAATAAGATAGATTGACACATGATTTAACAGTGAAAACCCCTTCTCCAGTCCCCTTCCAAAACAGTCCATCAACAGTATCAACAGAAATAGAAAAATCAGAGATAACAACCATCAAATTTTCCCATTGCTTAAATTCCCAATCATTCAACTCCCTTCTCAACTGAACGTTCCAAAACCAACCCCTTGAACTGTATTCCCCAAACTGAAATAATCTTCCAGTTTTGTTCACTGCAATAGAGAATAGTCTAGGGAACATAACTATCAAAGGATTATCCAATGCTTAATTGTCTTGCCAAAACCGAATATTCCTCCCATTACCAATTTTATAGCTATATTTGCTTCTGATACTACAGCCTATCGAATCAGCTTTATAATGATTAGTCACCATAGATCTCCATATCCAAGAAAATTTAGGAGAAACTTTACTGTCAAACTGCATCAAGGAAGGGTCCATTTTATATTTGATGCAAAGCATTTCCCTCCAAATCGCCTTCCTCTCAATAGAAAACCTCCAAGTCCACTTTTCCAAAAGTGCCCTATTCACCACATTTAAATTAGGAACTCCCAAGCCTCCTTCAATTTTTGGTTTACAAACATCGGTCCAGCTTACCCAATGGATCTTCTTTTCCCATCTCCACTACCCCATAAAAAATTTAATATAATAGAATTGAGGGTCTTGTATACTGAAGCCGGAACCTTGAACATTGACAAAAAGTATATAGGGAGTGAGCATAGGACTGATTTAATTAGAATCAGCATGCCTGCCAGTGACAGAGAGGAGCCTTTCCAGCCCGCTAACCTCTTATTGAAGCTTTGAACCACTGGATCCCACAGAATGTTGGAGTTTCTGTGTGGACCAAGAGGGAGTCCCAAATATTCTGAGGGAAAAGAACCCACTGAACATTCAATCGTAGCTGCCCAATCCTTAATTTCGTCTTTGTTTAAGTTCACCCCAAACAATTTACACTTCTTCAAGTTCAACTAAAGTCAATAAATAATCTCAAACACTCGAAGCACCCTCTTTACATTCAAGATCTGTTTTTTCGATGCACCACAGAAAATAATAAGGTCGTTAGCAAATTGAAGATGTGTTAAATTAAAATTCCTCTCCTCATTTCTAATGACCAAACCCGAAAAAAGCATCCCTGAAACAGCCTTAAGTATCAATAAATTCAAGAGTTCCCTAACTATATTGAACAACAATGGAGACAAGGAATAACCCTGACGAAGACCCTTAGCCATTGGAATTTCCTCGGTAGGAACCCCATTCACCAATACTGAAATAGTTGGTGATGTGATGCATTTTGAAATATAACCTATCCATCTAGAACCAAAGCCCATTTACTTCATTATTCTGAACAAGATAGGCCAGTCAAGAGTATCATATGCCTTTTTGAAATCAGCTTTAAAAACACATCCTTTTAAACCATTATTCCTCCAAAAGTCAATCCCTTCATTGGCTATAAGGGAACAGTCCAAGATTTACTGACCAGGGATAAAAACGAATTGACTTGGACTGATCAAATCTGAAATGCAGCTCTTAAGTCTCCTTGATAGACATTTAGAGAGTATCTTGTACAAACCACCAACTAAGCTTAAAGATAAAAAAATAGTCGGCTGCAAATGGGTGTTCACGGTAAAATACAAAATTGATGGTAGCATTGAAAGATATAAGGCGAGATGAGTGGTGAAAGGATTCACTTAATCTTTTGGAGTTGATTATCATGAAACGTTTGCTCCGGTAGCAAAACTAAACACTGTGAGAGTGTTATTGTCATTAGCAGTCAATGAGAATTGGGTGCTTCATCAGTTGGACATCAAAAAAGCATTTCTAAACGGAAACTTGGAGAAGAAAGTTTATATGCTAATTCCACTGGGTGTGAAGAGTAATACATGAGAAACATGTAGATTACTAAAGTCCTCGTATGGACTTAAGCAATCTCCAAGAGCCTGGTTTGACAGATTTAAAAAGGTGATTATTCAGGATGGTTACAAGCAATGTCAGTCGCATCGCACTTTATTTGCCAAAACAACTTCAAACAACAAAAAGACATTTTTGATTGTCTATGTGGATGATATCATTCTAACAGGTGATAATTGTATGGAGATAGATCGAGAAAGCTACTGGAGAAGGAGTTCGAAACCAAAGACTTAGGAACTTTACGGTATTTCTTAGGCATGGAGGTTGCAAGGTCAAAAGAAGGAATAGTAATCAATAAAATGAAATATATCCTTGATCTAAAATCAGAAACTGGAATTAAGGGATGTAAGCTGGCAGAAACACCCATGGAAGCAAATCTTAAGCTAAGGAGAGAAGAATTGGGAAGTCCCATGAACAAAGAACATTATCAAAGGCTAGTAGGTAAACTAATTTATTTATCACTTACTAGACTTGATATTGCGTTCCCTGTCAGTATAGTGAGTCAATATATGAGTGATCCAATAGAAGAACATTTAGAGGTTGTGAATAGAATTCTAAGATACTTGAAAATGACACCAGAACATGGGTTAATTTTTAGAAAGAGTGATGATAGAGAAGTAAGAATTTTTTCGGATTCAAGCTGGGCAGGTGAATTAACGGATAGAAGATCTACAACTGGTTATTGTTCATTTGTTTCAGGAATTCTGGTTACTTGGAGAAGTAAAAAACAGGCTGTGGTGTCTCTAAGGTGGTGTTTGTTTTTGAAGAGGTAAAAGGTCTGCAGTCTGCGGACCACATCTGCAGACATCTGCAGTAGAAGAGGTGGACCAAAAGTCTACAGTCTACAAGAAGAAGACTGTTTGTTTTTTAACGTCTGCAGACTGCTAAAATAAACAGAAATATAAAATAAATTGATTTTTTAAACTTAAAAGAGTTTTGCAATACTGAAATTTAAATAATTTTAGTTTTATAATACTGAAATTTAAATAATCCATACAACTACAATAATAAATTTTTTAAAATAAATCAATCAATATTTTAAAATAAATCAATCCATATTTTAAAATAAAATTTTTCATATTTTAAAATAAATCAATCCATATTTTAAAATAAATCAATTCATATTTTAAAATAAATTTTTCCATATTTTAAAATAAATCAATTCATATTTTAAAATAAATTTTTCCATATTTTAAAATAAATCAATCCATATTCTAAAATAAATGAATCTATATTTTAAAATAAATTTTAAAATAGATTTAAATGATTTTAATTTTTCCGTAGACTTTTGAAGACCTTTGAAGATATAAAATCATGTCTGCACCAAGAAGAGCTCACACAGACGTTTGAAGAGCTTCTGTCTTTTAAAAAACAAACGGTCTGCGAAGCCTAATGTCTGCGCGTGGTCTGCGCGGCGCAGACATAAGAGGTTTGAAGAGGTTGCACAGTGAAAACAAACTAAGCCTAAATAGTGCAGAAGCAGAATTTAGAGCAATGACACTTGGAATTTGCGAATGAATTTGGCTTCAAATAATGTTAACTGAGCTGGGGTTATGTGCCAACAAATGGTTTGAACTTCAAAGTGACTGCAATAAGTATTGCAAAGAATCCAGTTCATCATGACTGAATGAAGCATGTGGAGATTGACAAGCATTTCATCTTTGAAAAGGTGAATGGTGGAACGGTGAAGCTCAATTATGTTTCAACGAAGAATCAGTTAGCATATATTCTCACCAAAGCACTTCCAAGAATTACCTTTGATGAGATTATATCCAAGTTGGGTCTTTTCAACATTTACTCCCCAACTTGAGGGGGAGTGTAGGTTATGCAATAAGGATTGTTAATTAGTATTTTAATATAACACTAAATCTTAGAAAGTTAGATAAGGATAACTACTAGGTAGTTTATTTCTAATCGAAAACTTACTCCTAACTTTTCCTATAAAGGAAAGATGTACTTTCACCTTTCATAATATATAAAAAAATAGTTTTTTTTTCTTCTCCACTATGTTGTTTATTCTTTATCAATATGCATACTAATACAAGGAGTGTTAGGAACCCTTTGATTATTCTTCAGTAGACAATATGAGAAGGCTCATAAGACACTCAGGTGCAGCATGGCATATATATCCCTTGGCTTTAATGTGCTATGACATCATGCCCCCTCCACCCAAGGTGTGTATTTGCCTGTCAGTTTCTCTCATGTAAAACTTCCTCTTTCGTGACTCAATGGCATTTTCCAGGTTGAAAAGGAAATTGGAGAGAAAAGAATCATTGCTTTTCATGGGGTTGGATTGTCAGTGGTGCAAAAAATCTGGCCCCTGGAAACTGCCGCTGCTTGTAAAATGTCTGAAGAGATCAGTTATATTCATATACACTTAGTTTCTGATTCGTTACCGCACTACGGATTTGAAAATAAGTGATAAAGCATTTGATCGATGCAGAGGGCAAGACTTAACTTCATCTCTATCATTTTCACATAAGCTTCATCATTTATATCATAGATAATCGAAAGTTGCAATACTTCATGTTGGCAAAAATGATTACCTCAAATTTTATTTGGATATGAGCCATAACAACTATTTGTATAATTTCTATGCTTCCTAAAAGCACTAGATGATAACTTTCTATAAACACCATCATGTATGTATATGCTTGATCTCTTTAGTACGAATTGACTTTCAATTTGTGCAGGCTAAAGTTGCATACGCACAAGCTCTGCATAGGTCTGTGACTGAGTAATACAATGTCCTCAAACGCACCATACATGGCAAACAAGGGTTAGAAGCATCAACCGTAGGGGTCTTTTTATTGCAGCCATGGATCTAGTCGAAAACCTTGCCATGGTCTGGAAATCTGGTTATAGGTACTGGCTTAATTTTTCTGGTGTATCAAGTGCACATCTATGCTTTTGTAGTATTAGCATGAACGCCTTCTAATGCCATATGTTAACTCAATTGGGTTTTGATTTGCTGCATGCCAGGTCGTTTTCGATGCAGTAACTTTTGAATTGTTTACAAGAAAGCCATCAGATACGTAGGCAGAAGAATGTCTTGCAAGGCGAACCATGTTTGTTTCTTGATACCCACAGTAGAGCACTTAAAGAATTTTTAGAGAGTTCTTTATATTTGTACGCAGTGTTAGAATGAATTCTAACATATGTCTTTGATTTTAGTTGTTTTGTAATTGATGTGCGTGAACCATCCCAGTTGAATCAAGGTAAAGTGATTAACAAAGGAAATGATGAGAGCTCTTATAAATATTTTGGGAAGACTACATTTGGTTGATGTTTAAAGTGTCGAGGTGAATGCATGTTTATGGTGTATTTATGTTAAATGTAAACATTGGCTTGCAATGAGCAAGTGACTGAATTAATATGGTAAGAAATGACTCTTGATTATTATGTGACATTGGGATTCATGCAAAATAAATGAAACCTACAAGTGACTGAATTAATATGGTAAGAAGTGACTGAGTTTGTATTTAGAAGTTAACATAATTAGTTAATAAGCTAAAGATGCAAAATAAATGAAACCTACATAGATTTTATGATATTGACAGTGAATTTTAAAAATTACCATAAATCATATAAAAATGATTAGAATGTGATTCATATACCACTGTATTCGTACATCAATAAAGGTACTTCCAAAACAAACAAAGACATATTTTTAAGTGTATACTAGAAGATATGAATTTTTGACCGATGATAGGTCAGAAAATAAGGCAACAAATTATGCTTAAAATAGATTCTGTAAATTGGATTAGAAAAATGACCATAAATTGTACAAGTTGAACTAGAAAGAGTTCTTTATATGGTTAGATTTGTATTCAAATCTAGTTTCTAATAAAATAAACGTAGTTGAATTCTAGTGTGTATATTAATATAGAATACTAAATCTTTAAGGGTACCACAAGTTGACAGAATAGGGAAATGAGTGGTAAATCAAGCATTTTATGTTACTTTTATGTTATATGTTATTTTAAAGGCTTGAGATTTGCCAACTCTATTATATTGTCATGCTAATTACAATATTTATCATATGACGGGCATGTTGTTTACATGTGAAAAAGGTAAGCAATCAATGATATTTTCATGGTATGAAAATATTTAGGGTATGAACTGTCGATTGTGGTATTGTATAAAATATTCAAAATATTGTTATCTTTGATAAATGAAGAACAAGTGATAATTAAATAAAATGCCCATTGTATGTACATTGAGAGTCCTTCGTATAGTTGGTATGCCATAGAGGTGAAGTATTAGCAACTACATTATGTACATAGTACGACTTGATTTTGGTTCTATTGTATGAAGTTGCATTGAGTACATAGACGATGTGATTTTTGTATTATGGTATTATTGATTATTAGTACCATGATTTTGTGTTTATGGAATTTGTACGCCTATCTGACACTAAAAGAGCATTTATGCTTACTGATCTAATTTGCATACCTTGCATTCTCATTTATATATCTTAGGCTATGACAAAAGAAATTTTGAGAAGTTCATGTTATGACAGATAAGTAAGAAATTTAACCTTTCCATTTATTATAAGTGATTTAGCATAAAATGTGTTATATTTGACTTGATTATTTAAGGTGTAATACCCCAAATATTGGTTAGTGACAAAATATAAGCTTTGAAAATTTAGTGACCAAAGTATAAAGTGGAAAAAGTTTAGGGACCTAAGTGGTAATTTTCCCAAAAAAATAATTTTTATTCCATATATGGATAATTTACTCTTAAGAGTGGTGTTTTATTAAAATCAGATTATTGATCCGCAATTTATGTTGAAAACTAGAAATGATTAAAGTCTGGTAAGAAATCGGTAAATCGGATCGAATAGAAATTTCGGGAAAAATTGAATGATGATAAATTAGGCTTAAAAATATTATTTCCACATGTTCTTGGTAAAATTGGAAAATGGTAAAATTTGGACTGTTGGATTAAAGTGGCAAGACTGCAATTTTTGGAAATATGCTTGGTAAAATTGGGAAAAGGGTAAAATTGGGAAAAGGGTAAAATAATTTGTTCATCTTGGACTTTGGAAGATGATAAGGTTTATGTTGCTTGGTATTAAGGTAATTATCAAGTTTCATTAATGGCAAAATAGGCATTTGTCATTAAATGAATATTTTATTCATTTAAGCATAAATTAAAAATAAATTAACATGAAATTAAAGGAAAATTTCATTAATATAGCTATTTTCCCGCCACTATTTCCGTGAAATCCATCTTAAGGTAAGAAAATTTTTCTTTTTGATTTTTGAGCAATTTCCTTTGGATTTTGGATTATGTCATGGAATAGAAATTTGTTGTACGCGAGAGAAGGTATCATTTGGTACCAATATTGCATGCTAATCTTGCTTGTGTTCAAAGATCCTAAAATTTAGGGTTTGTTTTCACATTATGGTTTATGAAATTGGTGAAGGATTTTGATGTTTTTGAGGTTGTAGAATCATATACAAGCATGATTGTTGATTAAATCATTTGTACATGGCTATATAAGCTTATGTTGATTGCGACCAAACCTTATCTTTTGGGGAAATATGTATTTTGATGAAATTAATTTAGGGGTTTGATTCTAGAGGTCTTGAAGTGTTGAATAGAGGTTAATTTCATGCTTGAATCAAGTGAAAATCATGAGAAAAGTAACCCTAAAGCATTCAACCATGAGGTAAAAGGGTAGGAAAAATTGTAGAAAAATTCCCATGGCTTAGAAATGATATTTTGGAAGTTTCTACAAGCCTTAGATTTTTTTGGGCCAATCTATAATTTTGTGAAAGTTGGGGGAACTGATCGATAATCATGAAAAAGTTATGGGTTGCAGTATAAATGTTCAATAATGGTTGTAATATGCTGGAAATTACTGCTTGAGAGCTGAAATTGAAGTTAGAATGTGAAATTTAGCTATTTTGGAAAGTTGACAAAGTTTGAGTGCTAAATGGTAAACATTGAGAAAGTTAGTGGATTAAATGGTAAATAAAATACTGTTGAGGTATTGGACTGGAAATTAAATACTGGAAATTATTGGGCTTAGTTGGGCTTAAATTTGGAGAATTTATTACAAGGGCCCATTATAAATAAAAAGTAAAAGTTAAGACGATTTTAAAATAATTCAAAAATAATAGTAGTTTTGAGTATTAATATTTTGTATAAATGTTAGTAAGGATACTAACATTTTATTTTATAATTGTATGTGTGATTATGGAAGCTTGAGTAGATCGTGATCAAATTCGTGATACGAGCAAATCGAAAGGCAAGAAAAAAAGCTCAAGAATAATTGGATTTCGATAGTAAGGCATAATAGCGAGCATACCAAGTAAGTGTATTTATTATGAACTGATATGATATGAGGACGACTTGCGATGAGTCAACCTCAAATATTTTTATAAAAGAATGTTTTACCGTATTTTGAAATATTTTCATAAAGTTTATGAAAATGATTTTACGAATGATTTTATGGTATGAGCTGACCTAAAACGAATGGATGTGTTTCATACAAATTATTATTTATTGATGTTTTGGAAAAAATGTTTAACATGCGATTTATATTTTAAAGCCTATTATATATACATGAAGAGTTATAGCTGCAATAATAATACCATAAATAAGGTGGTATTGTAATAGAACTTTGTATACTGTAGCACTTTGTATGTAATTAGCATACTTGGTGTGAGATGGATATCTATCGATTTTAGAAAATGCATTATTGGATTTTCGTAAGAGTACTTTGTGTACTTGAAGTAGTACTTTGTGAACTATGGTACGAGTACTTTGTGTACTTGTAGTAGTACTTTGTGTACTTTGACACTTTGTGTGCAAGGATGGTAGTCATACGGGATTACTATTCCGGAAAATAGTTAGCTTCATGTTATTGTGTACGTGGCATTCTCATTTGTCATACATTGGGTTCTGAATGGATACTTTGGAATATACTGATTTAGAAGTATGCTAGGCATATGAAATACCGTTTAGCAAGTTATTTGACGGAAACTTGGCTTATCAAGTCAATTTTTATGCATTTATGTATTTTATATGTTAATCATATTTTGATCTTATAATGGTTTACTCGTCTTTTTAAAATGCCTTATTTGTTTTATTTTTCCTCACTAAGTGTATACTTAGCGTGTGATGATTTTCACGTGTAGGTAATAGCGTACGATCGGAGTGAGGGGTGTAGCTGACATCTTTCAAGGATTGCCTCATCAATAACAATATGACATCTCTAGATGTTTATTTTGATATTACTAGTTGGCATGTACTTAGATATATGGTGATACTCTAATAAGATACTTGGTATTTATTTGTAGTATTATATTATGTTCGAACTTAAACTACTGTTTGATGATTTTAACATTATTTATATATATATATATATATATTTGAAAAGTGTTTTATAACTATATTATTAAATTG